AGCCACTGGTGGGGAAGCCACAGTCCCGGGCATCCCGTTACATTCTGGACGAGCTCCCCAAGAGGATGGGCCTGCTGTGCCACCACCTTTGCTCCTGAGGTTCCGAGGAGGCTCTAGGGGTGACCCAGTCTTCCGCTAACTCAGCCCCGGCGCCTCTGCACCCACTGTCCCCGGATTTTGCGTCCACACAGGTCCGCTGTGGCCACAGGGAGTGGGCTGGGTGGGTCGGGGTCTCACACCAGGCCGGGCATCTGCGCCCGCAGAAAGGGCACGGAGGCGGCGGCTGGGAAGGCAGCCAGCGGGTAGGCGAGGGCCCCGGAGAAGCCGAGCAGCGGCGGGGGCGGGGGGGGGGGGGGCGGGGCGCCGGGTTTTAGCACCTGCCCTGGCCTCCGCCGCTGAGTTCTCGTGGTAGAGGATGGGCACTCGCACGATGCGCTGCGCGGCGGCGTGGCTCAGGTTGGCCGCCTCTAGCTCCGCCGCCAGCTGCCGCTTCCATTTGTTGCGACGGTTCTGGAACCAGATCTTGACCTGCGTCTCTGTGAGCTGCAGAGAAGCCGCGAGGCCCGCGCGCTCGGCGCTGCTCAGGTAGCGCTTCAGGTCGAAGGTAGACTCGAGCTGGAAGACCTGGCTGCGGGAGAAGACCGTGCGCGTCTTTTTCTTGCGACCGCCGCCAACACCAACGCCACTGCCACCGCCGCCGCGCGCCTCTCCCGCCGCTGCCGCCGGGGTCTCTGGTGAATCCCGGTCGCTGGCTGCAGGGGAAAGAGGGGCATAATGGTTGGTTCCAGAGGGCAGATCCGAGATCCAATCTCCGAGGCCTGCTGCTCCCCCCTCCCTTGGGGTCACCCACATCCACAAGAAGCAGGGAGGTATTCCCACACAGGAAATCCAGCACCTTCTGTGGATGGAGAGAGGTCGGCCAAAGCAAGGTGGACCTGAAGACCACGGAGTTGCTCCAACCAATGGCCACACACAGAGAAATGTGCATCCACACCCAGAGGACAACAAAGGGGGAAAAAGAGGGTGGGGGGAAAGAAGCACAAAAATACAGACACAAAAGCAGGCTGACCCTTCTGACCACTGCCCACTCCCTGTGGCACCATGGGCCTCCCAGAAAAACACACAAGAGACCTGCAGAGACAGAGATAAGACGAGAAATGTCCACACTGGCCAACAAGCACAATGACACCCCCTACCACCACACCTTGTCCCACACCAAGCCCCTTAGCCTTAATAAAGGCCTGAAGTGAACCTTCCCTCTTCACTCTCAGGAGCCTTTACAAAATGCCTTTTCCCGCTTGCGTAGAAACAGTCCCAGGAGGAAAAACAAATGCAAACCATCCCCCAAAGAAGTCTCCAGTGAGGTGACACTGGTAAACCCACTCCCTGGCCCATAAGCCCACCCAGCTACCATCATGCTCAAAGGGAGTTCGGAGGAACACCGCTCCAAGGAACACAGCCACCTCTCCCAGCCCGAACACCTAGACTGGCAGTTCGGCAGTTCAGTGTGTAGGTTTGGGGATACAGAACCCCCTCCACATACAGGGTGTCACTGCCTTCATAGCTCCACCTCATCTCAAAGTGGTAAGAAGAGACCCCACAGGGCGAACTAGGGATGGTACACAGTTAAAGGAGTCTGGCCAAGGACCTGGAAGCAGCTGTCTGAGAGGCAGCTGCCTCAAACTGGGGGGCTCATAAGGCCAGATCAGGCTAGTCTGCAGGTCTGAAGCTTGACCAGGCTCTCAGAGGGCTGTGGACTCAGAAGGGTGCTCTTGTCTGTGTCTGCACCCATGCAAGGTGTGCAACTGTTGGACTTGTGTGCATGGCTCAGGCTCTGTGACTGGTGTCCACGAAGCTGTGTAGGTTCCCCATGCCCCTGCCTAACCCCCATAGCATGTGCCCTCGAAGCCCACACAGGAGTCACATAGCAAGCTGGCATGCATGCCACCAGATCTGAGGAATCTCTGCCACCTTACCACACTCCAACCCCCCAAATTCATAGAAGCCCCGCACTTTGTTGCAAGGTGCTAAACTAGCTTGCCAGCTCTGATCGGAAACCTGGTTCCTAACCCGCACTGCACGAAATAAGCCGCTGCCACTTCTGCAGAGGCTGCTGGCTGGACTGCAGTGCGAGAGACTCCAGGAACAAGAGAACATATTTGTTCCATGAGACACTTTTCAGGATTACCCCAAAGAAGGTACTAAATTGAATCACAATTTCAGGAAACAGGGGAGGCCCTACTCAAGATTATGTGACGAGGATGGAGAGCCTGAGACGGGTCCTTCGGCAAGGAAGTCGCTCCCACAAAGGGAGAATGTGAGCTAACTGAGCAGTAGGTAGCCACTTAGTCCCCCAGCACACACTGACAAGTACACTGAGGGCCCAGCGGATGGATACCAGAGCCAGAGCCTGGAAGGAAGAAAGTCCTTAGTGGCCTCACCGGCTGTGTGTGTTTGGAAGAGGCTGGCAAAGTTGGCGGTGAGGGGGATTGGCAGGGCTTTCTTAGTTGTTCTCTCAAAGGTCCTACTCCAAAGGGCAGGCAGTGTGCAAGGAGACAACCATCTTGGGAGGAGTAGCAGAACTCAGGGCTCAGGATGCCCACGTAAAAGGGGCAGGTGGTTTCTAGTGTTGAGAAGCCCCCAGTCCCAGACTGAGTCCTCGGCAGGAACAAAAGAGGGAGTGGAAGAGGCCAAAAGAGAAGAAAGAAGAGTTGAGCTGAGGGCTTCCAAACAGGTTCCCTTCTTGCCAGACACAGCTGTGGGGCCTCGGAGGACTGAGGGGAGGCCCAGGCCAGTCCCAGGGTCTGTCTCGAGCAGGCACAGAGGCAATAGGCCTTTTTTGGGGGGGAAGGGAGACGCTGCTGCAGTGGAAGAACGGTCCCCTCCCCCTTCGGGCCTACCCTCTGTAACAGTGGCAGCCTAGGTTCAATGACCCCCTTGGCCCCCTCTTTGGTTGTCTGCTCCTACTTGGTCCTCCTGCATTCTCTAGTACTCCCTTTTTCTCTTCTCCCTTCTGTAGCCCTGGGTTTCTTTTTGCATCTTTGTCTCTCCTCTCACCACTGCCCGCATTCTCACATTCCTCCACCCCACTCGGTCTCCTACACCCTAAGTTTCCTGTCCTGTCTCGCTCCCCTTTCGTTTCTCTTTTCTTCAGCTTGTGGTCCCCAGGCCACTCTCCAGAGACTCCCCGGGGAGCAGGCCTCCCAAGGATGGCAGAGCCCCACGATCTTAGATCTGCGAAGCTATTGCCTGTGAAACCTTCTCCCCTTCTGAGACCCTGGCCCCAGAACTGAAAGTGGGACTCCAAACTCTCTCAGTTAGGGCCTTCTTTAGGGCCTAGGCAACCCAGAACCGGCGCCAACAAGCCCTAAGTCACCAAGCGAATGCGCGGGTATTAGTGGGCCCCACCGCCTGGCCCGCCCCTACCCGCGCCCTCACTCACTGTCAGGACTAAGGCCGCCTCCGTAGCCGCCGTGCGCCCGTGGGTACCAGCGCGTCGCGCCTCCGCAGCCCAGAGCATAGGGCGGCCCGGGACCAGGGGGTGGCCGGGGACCGAGGCCCAGCGCACCAGGTCCGAGCAGAGCCCGGGCCCGCGCCTCCCCACCGGGCCCGGTGCCCGCGCGCAGCTGTCTCCGCCGCTGCAGCCGTCGCCTCCGCGCCAGCTCGGCGTCCTCATCTTCTGGATCGTCGTCCCCCTCCTCATCGTCCTCGCGGCCACCATCGCCCTGGACCGCGCGCCTGGCACCCTTGGCCTCAGCAGCCAGCAGGTTCTCAATTAGAAAGGAGGAGGCGCGGGCCGGCGTGGCGCGCCCCGGCTCTGTCAGTTCGTCCGGCATCGCGGCCACGGGCCCGTCGGGTTCTGCTGGGCTCCTCGAGGTTCCGGGTGCCTGGGGCGCGGCCGGTCCGGGTCCCCGCTGGGGATGGTGGCGCGCAGTTCTCCGGCGCACGCGCGAGTTGGCCCAAAGCTGCTGCCTGGAGTGCGGGCGTCCGGCCCCGCGGGGCAGGCGGCGGCCTCCGCGCCGGGCTGGGCTGGCCTGGA